CATAAATATACGATTTTAAGGAATAAAATAGACGTAGATACATTCTAGAAATTAAATCTTTCTTTTCGTATACTCGTATACTATTTTTCAACGTATAAAATTTGTTATGTATTATAAAAACATAATAAAAACGGATATCATTATTGTATATTATATGATCGTATAAAAACCATAAAAATTAAAACGTTTATCTGGTATACTTAAATTACAACTAACGTGAATGTTACATGTAACAAATACGTTATATTACTTGTTATATTCCGTTTCATTATGGCAATGTTACAGTTATGTATCTGTGTTTGCTGGGTATACTATTTCAATAAATTATATGAATGCTAAAAGCTGCAGATTCTGTTTGATTTCTACTGCTAATTTACCATCAGATTGCGCGCGCGCAGATCTTGCTCGATTTCTGCCGACAATCTGATATCAAGTCATGTTAGCAGATCCTGCTCGATTTCTGCTACCAATCTGCCATCAGATTGCGCCATTTCTGCTAACATTCTGCTATCATTATCTGATATAACAGACTTTGTATGATTAAATGAATAAATTACAAAATATGCGATTCAAGATTTATCATCGCGATATATATATGTAGTTACGTATTATTTATAAATGTCAATTAATTATTAATTATATTATAATGGCAAATAATTCCCCGATATTGGTCGCAATCGCGTTTAGAGAAGGAATTCGACGGAGCGTCTCGCACGACTATTTTCCTGTTCGAGTATCGTCGCGCGAATGTTAACAGAGTTGAGGCATGTAAATGATAGCGCGCCAATATTTATGCTGTCAAGGCCGAACACTATGTTATTGTGTGTATGTGTGTGTGTGTATTAAATTTTATATATATAAGTTTATATTTTAAATTAATTGTAAATATTTTAAAGATAAATTTTTTCGCTATTCCGATTTTTTATTTAGAGTTCTGGGTAGCATCCCACGAGATATAAAAGAAATTCTTACGCTTAATATTCTTACGCTCCAATCAATATTGCAAGAGATACCGCGATCTTTTTTATCATTTTTGTCTATTATTATTAATAAAAACTAAATGGCGCATTTTATAATATTTTATATAACACACACATACATTTTGTAATATTCTAATAATGTGCCGTGAGCAGCTCTCATCGAGATATCCACTCTTAAAAAGCCATGTTAAATCGATACTCGCAAGTATTGTTATCTCTTTTCCGCGATGCTGATTGATTATCTCGACGCTGCGCTGTGCCCCAGTGAGTAATACCGATCCGAAAAAAAAACGTGTATTAGATATTTATTAGACGTTTATAAACGTCTATAGACGTCTAATAGCCGTCTTTCCGATCTGTGATTTCTCAATGGGGCATTACTTTATATCAGTAAACGCTTGTCATGACTGAGCGATGCATTTGAAAGTTCAAATATTAAGTGTGTATGTAATTTTTATTTAATTGATTTTGAAAAAATGGAGAACTAGAGTTAATATGTAAGTAATTATACATACACAAACAAAATAAATGACGTGCATTTATATTATTCTAGTGTAAAATAAAATGCGTGTTGTGTGTGATAAATGTGTCGGGAGTCGGAAGTATCATATCAATGCCATGTGATTGTAAGAAAAACTAGTTTTACGAGAAGATGGATGGAATCACTCTACCAAAGGCTATCAAGTTAGAAGAATTTGAGAACGTATAATATATCTTGCTTAAAGTATGAACGTCGACAGAAGAATAATAAGCTGTCTCTCTGCGCATTGGTCCTCTTGTCCTCTTCTCCTCTCGATATCTCTCTTATAATGGAACGCATTCCAGTAGTAGTGCGCGATATCGAGAGCCTCTTGTATAATGAGATGCACCCGCACTCTCTACTATGTGGAATGTGTCCCACTGCATACTACACGAGAGATATCGAGAGGGGAAAAAGACAAGGACTGATGCGCAGAGACATATTATTATTTTTCTGTCAACGTTCGGTAAGCAAGGTGTATTATATGTTGACCAGTAACTACGCCGTACTGACATAATAACAAGTAAGTGAAAAATAAGATATTGGTTAATATAAGATATTAAGATATCATATATATATTTTTTAAATGAGATATTAATGGAGATATTAGTATTCTTAATGCCTTCTTATCCCAAACGTGTGAAAATTTCTATGTATGCTCGTAAAATTCAAATTATAAAATATTTTTTCTTGTTTCTAAAGTTGCGATTTCAGACTTATGTCCTATATGATGAAACCTTTATATATTGAAAGAGAATAAACGATAATATATTTAAATTACGAATATTAATAAGAATGTAATATGTGTGTATATACATATAATATCTTATGCATAGTGCACAACCTAATACATGTACACATCACAAATTGATACATAATACAAAGGGCTAACGTTGTAATGTGCATCGAATTTAATTATAAAATAAGCTTAACTGTCAAATGCAAAACTGCGATCGATTCGATCGCGGATATCCATTTTTGTTACAAGTCGCTACGTCAATTTTCTGTGGAGTTATTGCCGCCCGTAAAATTATAGAAAACTGTTATTACGCCGCTCGATTTATGAATGAGTAGCGCGATCGCGGGGTTGGGGAGTGGAATAGGTCGTAGTAGCGTGTACGCACAACTCAGTCACGTGAGGCGCGCGATAGCGTCGCGCGCGGCCACGTGGTCGCGCGACGCTGCAACAAATCATATGACTGTGCATCGTGGAGTGTGGAATACGTTGCCGCTCGTAGACGGAATCGGACTATTTAAACGCGTCATGCACGTGTTCTTTATCCGGACCCTATTTTCGTCCTCTTTTTAAGAGGATTCTGAAGACCATCTCTTTTTTCCCGTTCATTCTTTTCTCCATTCTCCCGATCCATCTCTTCTTTTTTCTCGGGTCAGCATAGCCCAATTAAATATTGAATATCATCGTATCGCGCGACTCGCTTGGTGCTATCACGTGCCTCCACCCTGATTGCCGATACTTCGAAAAAGAATCTCAACGAGTTAAGAAGAATGGTGTATGAAAGCCAAGAGAGCAGCGTGATGGTTATCCGGTTTACATTATTGTATAATATAATATTAGGTCTACCGGAAAGTTCTGTCCGTTTTTGGAATAAAACAAAATACGAATCTATTATTACATTAAATCTATATTGAAATAGTACTTGTTGGTAACAGCAACCAAGATTGTATAATGATTAATTAATTACGTAATACTTCTTTTTCCTTTCTCTCGAGGCGAAACGTGATTATGCGTTTGCGCCAATTGCAGAGCAATGCTATTGACGCGCATGTTTCGAGCCGCGAGCTTGAAGATAGGCAACGAACAATAATCCGACAAAGAATAATGGATAGCAATGAGGTATTGTCCCGTGTCGCTTTCAACGAGTCCAATTAAAGCGCGTCCTTCCGTCGGCTTAAAGTCAGAGACGCGGTGGAGTTTTTTCACCGGCAACGAGTGGGATGGAGAATTGTGTAACCCTAGGTTTCAATAATAAAAGTCTCGTTACGTTTTGCGTTTACGCTCGCTATAAATTATCACGTTTCCCGTCCGAATGTTTTTTTTTGTCCGATAGCGATTGCGCGTCGCGGAATAATTAAAGCATAACGAATTGACAATGTGGTAAAATTCGTATTGATTTTCCCGCGACCTTTTCTGTTCCCAACAATATATCATATTTACCGATATTATATTAGGTCTACCGGAAAGTTCTGTCCGTTTTTGGAATAAAACAAAATACAAATTTTTATTACCGTCAATAAACTTTATTAAATAATGTAATTGCCATTATTATTAATGATTTCTTGCCAGCGTGAGGGCAATTTGTATATCCCTTTTTCGAAAAATGTTTTATCTTTTGATGCGAAAAATTGAACCAGTGCTTGTTTGATATCTTCTTCATTTTTGAATTTTTTGCCCCTCAAAAAATTTTGTAAGGACAAAAACAAGTGATAGTCGGTGGGTGCTAAGTCCGGGGAATATGGTGGATGCGACAGAATTTTCCAGCCTAGTTCTGCAATTTTTTGACGAGTATCCAAAGCAGCATGTGGCCTGGCATTATCATGATGCAGTATGATGTTCTTCCTATTGTACATCGCCGGCCTCTTTTCTTGGACTGCTGTATTTAAATTATCCAGTTGCTGACAATACTTCTCCGAATAATGGCAATTACATTATTTAATAAAGTTTATTGACGGTAATAAAAATTTGTATTTTGTTTTATTCCAAAAACGGACAGAACTTTCCGGTAGACCTGATATATATGTAATACTCCAAATTTTATTTTGGTAATTTTATTTTACTTTAACTTTCCCTTTTTAGCATACATAACACTGGTAAAAGTTTTGGGATCTCAATGTTTCTTTTCAACTTTCTCGTTAATTTATTCGAAGTTTGTGTTTTGTATTATTATTTTATTCGTTTTACATATGTATATAATTATTTACTTACAATTAGTTTATTAATTTGACGAATTGAACGTTTTTCAATAATTGAAAAATGCTCAATGAAAAAATTTCAATGAATTATATTATTCCAGGGAATGGCAGACTTTACATATGTTATGGCACGGTAGATATCTTAAGAATTTGATGAACCTTATGTTAAACTTAATTATAAGACAGTATATGAAAAAATAATTGTTTTTTAAGTATTTATGGTGTAATCTCTTATAATATTTATTATATTTATTTAATATTTGAGGACACTAAAGAAATTTCATTAGGAATATTATAATTGAAAATATAAATATATACAAAATTTTAATTTATTTTACAAGAGATTATTTATATTAACAAATACAAAAATAATAATAAATAAATATCCTGTTACACGCGGAAAATTAAAAAAAAATCGCCGAAGAAATGATAATTTCGCGTTATCTCGCAAATATATTCGGCGATATATTGACGATTATTATAATCATCGCGAAGATTTCTCCTGTACATTTCTATGTACGTAACAATGATGACTGTTAATTATCTTTCGCCGCATACACTCAAAGAGAAATGATTTCGTGAATAATTCTGTAAAAGATTTTAATTTAATTTTTTCGCCACAGACGCATATTATGAATATTAGCTATAGACTTGAGGATGTTGATATGTATTTTGGATTCTTAAACTTCATCAAAAATTTAATTGGCGCAACTAATTCCTCGACAAATTAATCCGATATCGAGCCGAAGACAAGTTTTGTTAACAACAAAACAATTCGATATCGAGCTGAAAGCAGGTTTTGTTAAGAACAAAACAATTCTACGATTATAGCCGATGCAGAGTCGACAGTCTTTAAATACAGAACTCTCAATAACAAAATTGATGTTTTGTCAACATCGATCGCGATCTACTTTGTAATTATTTATTTGGCATTTCTTTGGTCGTGTCTTATTTGCCGACGTGTGATCGAGAATTCATTCGAGGGCAACATCGGGCGATCGATGCGTCATCGAAGTCGGGTATTAGAACGACTTTAATTATAATTCGTTGAACTGCTTGAGGACGAGGACGAGGACGATGAAGAGGCGCCTACCGAGTTGTATGAGCTCGAGCCGCTGCCGGGTGAATAATAACTGTAAGCAAGATTTTGGGCTTCCACACCATTAGTCGGCGTCCAAACGCGGGAATACGGGCCGTTGCCGTCCCACGTATTGGCGGGTTCATAGCTCGACGTCGTCGAGGGCATAGGTGGAGCACCATATGTTGATGCCGGTTCTATGGACATTCCTACAACCGAAAAATTTTACTTTATTAAATAACAAAAATAACAATGCATATGTGCAATTTTTTGCATGCAACAATTAAGACATATTTGTCTTTAAAATTGAACAGAAATGTTCATGTAATTTTTTTTTAAAATATATTAAATATATTAAAATTTAGAACTTATTTAATATTTTTACAAGAAAATTAAATACGATTTTTATTGAAGTAAACAGAGAAAGTAAAATTATTGCAGAGATTGTAACGTGAAATAGTTGCACGCTTAGTATTCGTAACATACATAGCAATAAATATAAAAAGTTACACGATTCTCTCGATATAAAGCATTAGAGATATTTATATAAGTACATACCTGTCGGCATCATCATGCCACCTTTCTTAAAGAGTTGTAGAGCGACAAATCCGATCACGACGAGAAGAGCGAGCTTCGATAAAACAAGAGCTTTTAACGCCTTTAATCCAATAATGGCGACAAAAATGGGCATTAGAGCTTTCAACTTCAATTTCAGCAATAACAAGAACGGTAGTAAAAGCTTTTTCTTCAAAAGTCCTCGCGCTTGATTGGTGGCTACGTCATTATTCTTGAATTCGACATCAAGATCGATTAAACTTCTGCTAGGTCTATATTTTAAACTAGCATCGACGAAGGGTAAATCGATCCCATAATCGAAACTTTTCATATACTTGATGATTCTGGCAACAATCGCCTCGTCGACGGTTTCGAGTGATCTCGCTTCGGTGGTAGTTCCCAACTTGTCATCGAGACAACTCAAAACTTGATGCTTCAGACAGGACATCCATGATTCCGCTTTTATACACTCATTTAAGGAGTTCGTTAAGAAGTCTTGATTGGCCGCGCAAGATCCGATCAACAGAACGATCGCGCCTATCGATGCTATCAGTCGCATATCGGGATCCTTTTCCTTTCTTCGATGTTTTACAAAAAATTGTTCGAATCGTTTTTTTTTTCTCGTAGTTTCCACTCACCGTCCGCGCGGTATCGCGTGTCAATAAAAGCGATCGATCGTCCACCCGTGCGAGCGACCGATGATCGAACTGCGACTGACGGAGGAGTGGCCTGCCCCTTTTATTTAATTTGTTCCCCTTGAAACTATGTTATTCGGTCACGCATGCCGGGAATCGACGATCGAAGGGAAATTATTCAAATTTCACTGGCATATAGCGTCGTACCATCACCCTCTTCGTCGAACCCCCGCGAGCCTTCTCTCACCCATTCACTTGTCAGGCAAATGCACGCGTGTATATACGTGTCGATTGTTGCGCGACGCGTACGTCGTACACGATGGCATGCGGCGCATGCAGGAAACGGAACTTGCATCTCGCATCTCTTTTCGCCTACGTTCTTATCCGGCTCGTCGTAAACTGCCGTTTAGCGGTCCGTATGCCTTCTATAATCACGAGATTAACAGAATGAGTAACTGTCATCTCTGTAATATCCTTGAAAACCGCAAGCACCGTATAGCAATTTAAAGGGATGCACATGCGATGCCTCTATATATCATGCTGCGTTCTTACATTGTTTTCTGATGATTACAGTGATTTACGCGTTGCGATTATGGTGTTGTACGCTTGGCATACAACGCCATAAATCACAACGATTGTAAAAGAAGCGAGATATGTGTAAATTTTATTGTGATATTAGAAATGGAATCTCTTTCTTATGAAACGTTGGGTACACAAGTTTATACACTATTTTTATTTTTTTTTTCTTATAGAATATAAAATGAATTTGACCTGAATATTAATTCATAAATACACACATAAAATTGTATTATTTTATTTTCTAGAAGTTATTTTATTTTTGTGTGATGCTTATACAATATATTTGCTCTCTTTAATAAAATTTAAAAAACTTTTTTAAATATTTCTGATATTTTTATTTCTTTGTTTCTTAAATGATAATAACAGTGCAGTGTTGTATTATTTGTTAAATATATTAGGAATTTAGATTTTATAACTAAAAGATAGCAAATAGTTGAAACAAGTGTAAAAAATTATAATTATTATATTATTATCACATAAAGCTTCAGCTGTAGTTATCTTTAGCTATAATTATCGCAATAATTAAATGGGATTGCAAATATGAAATTGAGATCCTATTCACTTATCAATTCTTATTTACTTTAATTTTTATTATATTAACTATCTTATTCTCTCTTTTTCTCTAAAATGAACTTATTATTTTGCCACATTTTTTAGAGCCTAAATTTAATATTTTTTATATAATTTAATTTTATAATAATTTATATTCATAATTTATTAATACTTTGCCATACTTTTTTGTGTGTAGGTTAAAATAACATTTTCTTGTTTTCATAAAAAATGCAAGTCACATAATATGTTAAAACAGTGAAATGACTTTCAAAGTGGTGACTTCTAATTAACTTTCGTAAAAGACGAAAGTGATCACATTTGAATGTAGGTCTCCTGTAAGTATTTTATGAGTCTCTCGACTGATTTGGATTGCAGAAAGCGTTCTTGTAAGCTTAGAAAGAAATGCTAATTTAAAATGATATCATATAAATATATAAAGAAAGAAGGTGTGTTACACAAATCTTGAACATAAAATTGATTTATTTATAAAAATAAATTTTTATAAATTTATTTTTATACAAGACAAATTATACAAGACTATTATGTAGAGCTATAATTTATATGCAACATTTTTCTCCAAAACTGTGAAGGAATTCATGTTTTAATTATAAAAAAAGGGCACGAATATAGCAAAGCTTAAATATATCTTTTTTATATATCAGTAAATTTCTCTCTCTAATTTTACTTTAATTATTAAGAATTGCAAAAAGTTATTATCATAAATATCTTTACATAATTGCATTTTTTAAGACATAGAATTTTTTATATATTTATTCTTTACTTTTCTATTTTTTTCGAATAATCATTGTATGACAAGTAGCGTCGAGCAGATTTTCAAATGGATATGATACGAAATAACTTGCAATAATAATTTATTAAATAGATTAACTATCTAGTCTTCTCTCTTCTTCCGAATAAATTTTATTATTAAAAGACAGTATTAAAGTAGTATTGGGAAAGCAGGTTTTCAAATAGACATATTATAATATTAAAAATGACTTGCGATAATAGTTTATTATAAATAATACAAATAGGAAACTAAATATTTTACAAAAGCGTCATCAGGCCGATAGTAACATTACGATTGTGCATGGGCGGAGTATGCAAGATTGTGCGCAAGCTGCGACGAAGAGATCTGATCCTTATCTTGGAAAGATCTGTACTGAGCTTGATACTCCCAAGGTCCGTGAGCGATGGGCGCAGGATGGGAGTCAGCGGCGATCTTTTTGCAGAGTTGGAAAATGGCCATACCGACGGATACGATAAAGCTGAAGAAAGAAAGCTGCAGGGCATTCCAGGCCTTGAGGCCAAGTATACCGATGGCCAAGGGGATCAAAGTCATCGCTTTCAAGAGGACGAAGACGAGAATAGGGATGACGACCTTCTTCAGCTTGGACTTGCGGGCCTCATCGACGGCACGGCCTTGGCCGAACTTGACATTGAAGGTGAGCTGATCGTCCTCGATATTGCGCGAGCTCACCTTCACGGTGGAGTCTAGCGGCAGTTTGAAGGTCACGTCGTGAGAGGCCAAGTAGGATTGTACAGTGTCAAGGAAGGACCTCTCGCTGCGAGCGGATACCTCTTCGGCAGGATGCGAGTTGCGTGTAATTTCCATTGTTTCGGACACCTGAATAAATCGAGACAGTGAACATCAGCGAATTTATTAAAGCAGAATATTTTATTAAAAAGGGTCGAATAATATATAACGTGGTAGTAAATAATTTTACAAAATTTTGATTTTGATAAAGTATAAAACGAGAATACTAGAATAAAAGTATGAAAGTTTTGTGAATCGCTTTGAAAAACCGCTATCAGCATTGATACCTACCTTGAAGCTATCCTTGCTGAAGATTTGATCGAGCAAATTAAACACCTTGAATTTCATGCAAGCAATTTCGTCGTTCTTCTGCGAGCATTCGGACCTGGATCGATCGACCATCTCGTCCATGGCATTCTTCCAGTTCTCATTCTTGGCTGGTTGCGCGACGGCCAACGCGAATAGGGCGCACAAAACGAAGAACCTCATGGCGCTGGCAGTCAATGATATCCGTTTATGAAGACGTGAGGAAGGTTCGCGTTGTACACCCGATTCGTGGATAATGAATGAGAACGATCGCAATACGACGACTGATGCCAATGGGTTGGGCAGTACGGTATTTATACGAAGGCCTATCTCATCGAATCGTACAATGCACGTCGAAGAGTCGCGTAGCGGCGCTCTCAAACCCCCTACTTCCGTCCGCGTGTGGATTTTCTTTTCGTTCAGTATGGTCTTCGATTATTGAGGCCTCGCCGTGGATCATGCCGCGACTACCTGATGAGGGAGGATAGACTGTGCGAGCGTGAGATCGCGCGACACGCTGCACGCGACGTCAAATCAGGGTAGCGGTCCCGCCAATATGCCAATAGGTCATACTTTTGGATCATAAAACGCGATGGAATCTATAATATTAATGAGTAGCAGTTTGCTTTCTACCGACGATATCAAAAGACCTACTTGCGGCGATAAACGTTCGTGGAATATTTTTTGACGCATGGTCTGAAATTAAATTTTTCATAATGAACGCAACCGGATTTTATAATTATTAGTCTTAGTTCGTCGTGACACGAAAACGAAGAGAATTAAAAAGTTATTAAAAACATTAAAGAGAGAGGAAACTAATCTATGTTAAAGATTTCGTGGAATATTATAAAGCATTAACAATTACATAAAATTAAAATTTTACCTATAAAAAAGATAAATTACTTTTATAAAGTTTTCAATAAACTACTTATAAAGTTTTTAATAAATTTAAAAAAATAAGAAATTAATAATCAGGATAATTAATTAATTTCTATTTTGAAATGATAAGAGATAATATTATTAATTAATTCGTTATCTCATAATCAGTATTTACAACTTATATTAGCAATAAATAACAGAATTAAATGTCGGCAATTTTTTATGAAACTTAAAAAAAAATTAGGCAGGAGAAGATTATAAAAAGTTATTTATTTTATTTTAGTTACTCTTCTATTTATAGCAAGTAACCAGGAATCATATACGTAAGACTTCTTTATCCTTGACATCAAAGTCGCCGTAACATTGGCATTGAATCGATCATTTATTCATATCACGATCATGACTTTCTACACACTGTTCCGTTCTGTCTATGTTCTCTCTCATTATGCCATTATCCTCTCTAGAACTACCAATTTCACTCTGTTAGACTTTATTAAACTGTAGCTCCCGATCGAGCTTAAGAAAAATAGCACGAGGATACATCAGTGATGCGAGTTGCGTGCAAGTTTCTCGCACGAAAATGCACATCGGGTACCATCAGAGACACTTTTGTCCTGCCCGACTTCTTCTCTGTCGTAACAAATGGCAACTGGAATTTTGGGTCGAGTTTGCATAAGCATTCAGGCCGTCTAGCCGACGAAATATCGATCAATATCTTTCGTGTAATCAGTCTATTCCTTTTGTGTGCCCTTAGTTTGCTTATTGTTGACAAATCAAATTTATGTGTGACAACAAAAGTTTGTTAAGCTGCAAAACGCGCGCGAATATTATATTCTGTTTAGACATATCCTTTTTTTTCGAATCAGATTTGCTCAGATGTAGCAAATATTTATAAAAACACACAAAAAAAATTTAATAATACAGATCATATAAATTAATAGACGTAATAGCTCTAATAGCTATATAATACAGTTTTTAACAAAAGTTGAGCTTTAACAATTTTATATTATAGACATCTATCTCTTTATACATAATCTTTTATTCTTTTTATTTTATTTACTTTTATACTTAATCGTGTATTCTTATATATTATTATATATAATTTCTGTTAATGTTAACTAATTCGATCAAGTTTATTGATAATTAATTCAAGTATCCCGTTCTTCAAATTCGTATTGCATATTATGCGAAAATACAAGGCAAAGTATTAACAAATGTGTCACTTTTTATATTTTAATGTATTTCTATAATCGTATTTTTCTACCATCTTTTTTACATTTTCCAATATTAGAGCGATAATATTTTTACAATCGCATTTCCAAGGAAAAGAATATGAGTTATATTAAACTGGAGAAGATTGAGATAAAAATAATCACAAGAGATTAGATTGATAAAACAATATGAAAACTTTTATTACATTTAAGTAACGCAGACGGAACATACACACATACTAGTGTAATCAATAAATATTAAATAAGTACGGATGATGAAATGATCAATTTTGTTCTACGTCGTTTTATTTTCTATAGGCTCTGTAAGGTCCGTGAGGTGCGGTGTCCCAGTGAGGTGGATGTTCGACAGGTGGATGTCCGTAGTGAACAAGTTCGTAAGCGACTTTCGGTTTTGTCAATTTGAAGATCAGCATCGCCCCACTGAGGACCAACGATAGCAGACCCAGAGTTAGCGCTTTCCACGTCTTTAAGGCGATCAGAGCAAGAGCAAGGGGTACTAAAGCAGTGGCTTTGAATTTGAGACCAAGCAAGAATGGTATCATCACCTTCTTGACGAAACCACGACCTGCAAAAATATGTAAAATTAATACGTTTCTTAAAAAATATTATGTTCCAAAAATGTAATATTTTCACGATTATTTTTCTCTACAGGCGTTTTACACGTCAAATGAAAATCATATAAATAATATGTGTATCATAAAAATATATGTATCGTCTGTAACGTCTACTATTTGTTATTAAATTACCTTGTTCAATAGAAGAATCACTAAGAGGGACGATAAGACTCTTTGGCATGCTGTCAACTAAAGATCTAGGAACAATGTTCGATTCCGCTATTGCTTCCGGTAGTTTAGCCTCAAGCTGATGGCTTGACAAGTACGCATCCAATTTCTCGAGCAACAATGTTCGCAGGATTTTCCTCTTGGATGGATCTGCGGCATCATATTGCGAGTAATCTTCCGCACTATCTGCTGCCGCGTCACTGGATTTAACTAACGCTAAATTCTCCGTAATTGCCAATCTGTCTTGTTTCACAGCATCGGTGAGGTAAGCCAACACCTTCGGTTTAACACAAGATAACATGGATTCGCTATCTGCGCATCTGTAACATTTGAAATTTGTACATAAAACAAAACGTTTAAGAAGTTTTTATATATAATTATTCTAATTCAAACAATTTGTAAATTATAGCTTATACAATGCAATTAATTTTTAATAATTAAAATTATAAATACGAGAAGATTATAATATAATTATAACATACCTGTGATAAATTTTTTGCAAGACATTGACGGTAGTCTCTGTTTGTTGTGCACCACTGAGGGTAGCCAGAAGAGATACTGACACAAAAGTGGTTAAGAGCCTCATGGCGATACCACCGATTGGTTAGAGACTAAACACCGAATGCCAGTACGAACGAAGTCAACGGGGTTTTATAGGCGATGGCATTCGCGTACGTCCAATGAATTTTGATTAGAGACGTGTTACAGGCTGGCCGAAAGAAAAGAAGAAAGCCTTATTATCTAGAGTGTCGATGGTTTTACAAAGTATAAGTGTCCTCTCGTCCCTCTGATTTTGATTTCGACTTCCATATCAAAAATTGCTACCATTTTTAGAATATGTCCATTCGGCAAACAATACCTAGATAAATATATTGATGTAAACTATATTTATATAAGAGTTTCGATAAATTTATGATTTTCTTGAATTTTTCCACAGCATAATTTCTATTAGCATGGTAAAATTTACAAATCTTTTTATTATGTATTTATATGTAATTTATAGAAAAATTTATTTTTATTGAATCAAGATAGATACAAAATAATTATAAATTTACGATATTGAAATATCGAATCAGAAAATCTTTACTTTTCCGTTAAAATTTTTGAACTCTAATGCAAAATACGAAAAAAAGTAAATGTACTATAAACTCTTTGATAACAAATTTTGAAGTAATTATATTTGTATACAGTTACTTATTTTTAGTAAAACGTAATTTTATTATATATCTCTCATGATACTAAAAATATTATACATTTACTTTTTCTTCTTTCTTTATAATATTATTTTATTTCTTTGAGTTTAGCAATGTTTTGCCTTTGTCAATCAAGAAATAAAATAGCGATATCACAATAGAACTAAATTGATTATAGTATTTTTGAGGATTAATATTATCTAAGATGAAAAAAATGAAACTAATAAAGAACTGAAACAAACTACGACTTATTATTGACTCACATATTTATTATATTAAAAAAAAATTTAATCAATAATATTCTTGAGAATATTCATAAAAGCACTTAAATTTTAATAGTTTATATGAGAGTTTATTTGATTATTTGATTATATAATAGTTCATATTCTTTATATAGTAATTCTTTGCTACATTAAGATATAATAAACACAAGCGCGAGTATATTAGAGTTAAAAGGATAATATGTAATAATATAATAAAATTGACTTAATGTTTTATTACACATAAATTACATACACATAATTAGATCGTATAACTAATTACAAAAGTGTTTATTTAATTTTTACATCATAATTCGATATACTTTTATATGTAGAAAATTTAAGATGGAGTTAAGTTGAAAGTAACAGTTGTTGGGTATGGCACCCGAATATTTAATAGTAATTAATTAGTTATCTCTCTAGCGGAATAAACAATATTCATAAAATTATACAGCAAACACTATTTCTTAACTAATTTTTACATAGCATCACAAGCATATCTTTCTTATGCAGAAAACGCGACAGATTTTTAAATTATTGCAGAATATTATTTAACCATTCTTATATTACTGTATACGTAATTATACAAGATATGAAGCCACTACGAAATAATAATTATTTCATTTTACATGTGAAAAGTAAAAATGTTATTCGTCGTACAATATTATATGTTATGTAAGAGAAAAAAATGTTTTTTTATTTCAAATATCTACTGTCAAAGCATAACTAAATTAATAGAATTTTTTATTTTTCGAAATACTGTGCATTTTTTAAATTACACCAAAATTTACCTAAAAATTATAAACCATATTTAACCCATAAAATGCCACAAAGTCCAAAATGTCATATCAATCTTCTTATTTAACCATGCCTAATAATGATAATACCCCTGGAGAGCGATCTTGCTGACAACGTGTCAATAGATTTCAAAAACTTTGACACATCATCACAAAATCTACTGATTAAACTCCTCACTAAATTCGATCGCTTAAACTTGAAAAATTACATAAATTATACAAATGCAATAAATATTTCATTCAACATGTCGATTAGTTTCTTACAACTAAATCAATTGTTAAAACTTTTGCGACGAGTGAATTTATCCGTAGAACACTTCAATTTATTTTCTAATAGGAAAATTAGATGAATTCTCGCGCATCTGATAAATTATATATTTATAAATTAATGCATGGCAGTACCGTTGGTCTCTCTTTTATATCGACATTATATTATATACGCAACTTTACAACATTGATCTATCCGATGCAAGTTCGTCGAGCTTATTGAGCAAATATGTCTAACAGCATTTGCTAGAGAACGGATAACATCTGCCGTATTTTAGTCGCATTAGTACGAGATATAAATTTCACATTTATTACAGAACATTTATTCGGTATTGTTGTTACAAGGATATGTGCTGAGGCAATCTCCACCATCTTGACCGTACCTGGCTGCGTTCAAGTATCTATAAAATCTCTGACTGTACACACTGTCTGTTACACTACCCTTGAGTTCCTGCGGATCTCTGTAAATATATACAATTATATTAATTAATCCCATATTAACATAATAATAATAATAA